AGTAGTAATAAGAATTAAAATACTTATTTGAGACTAGAAAAGAAGTAATTATCTCTAATTATAAAAGATATTATTATTTCATTTTATTATTTATATAAAACTCTAATCTTAGATAGCCTTTTATACTTCTTCTTAGAAAAAGATTATATCTTAAATACTGGCCTATTATATTTCTTTACCTTAGAAGGAGATTATATTAGTAAAGTCGGTCTACTATATTTCTTTAATAGTTTAGTAAATAAATAGTAATAATTAAAAGTATACTAATAGTATCTAATAATACTAGCTTGTAATATTTTAGTATTACCCGAGAACTATTTATACTTAAGAGACTTAAGAGGCTCTTAGAAGTATTATTTAATCTTATAGCCTATTAGATATACTATCTTATATAAAATATCGAGAATTATTTATTTTATAAATATAATAAGAAATCTAGTTTATCCGAAAACTTATTTTATATAAGTGGGGTTCTTATAATAAGCTACTTCTTTAATAGCCTCCTATACTAATATAAAGGCTATAATTCATATATTAAGATTATATATTTTATTAAAGGAAGACTTCTATTCTAAACTTATTAAAATTCATTTTTTAGAATCTAAAAATAATAGAATTGAATTCCTGAACCTATAATATTAATTCTTATTATTCTAAACGGACTCCAGGTTATTATTATAATTACTATTATAACTATTTAAATTGTGATTTTCCTGGCTATTATCTAGCCTATCTTTCTTAAGAATAGTAGGTTTATCTATATATTATTAGATTTATATCCGGTAAAATATAACTAGTAACTTGCCTTTATTACCCAGACTATTACTTAATATTAACTATATAGAACCGGTAAGATTATTACTTATATTGAGAATAAAGTTATGGGAATTCTGGTAATTATATAAATTCAGGTACCCTATTAAGGCCTCTTTATATATACTATAATCTAGGGATTCGGTAATTAGTAGATTATTATTTACTTTATTACTTTTATTAAAGCTATAGTTATTTTCTATTATTTCTCTAAATATTAGACTAATTCATTTTATTATATAATTAGTAGCTATATCTGGAACTCTATATATATTATTTTCTAATCCCAAATAATTCTTTTTATTAGGAACTAGAACTAAAGATTTGAAATAGTCGAAAGATATAGCTATATCTCTAATATTATATAATAATAGTTCCTAGATCCAAGAACTAGTTATATTAACTATTCTAATATTACTATATAATAGAACCGGGTAAGTTCCTGGAAGTAATTAATTCTAGTAATAGGAAATACTTAATTAGTTAGAATTCATTTTAATACTAGCTATTATAGAAGAATTCAAATATAATAGAGAATAAACTTTAGGAATACTAGTTTTTAAATAGTATACTAAAGGAACTTTATATATAACCTGAGAGTATAATTTTATAAGAAATAGAACTAGTTTCATATAATAGAATTTCTTCTATTTACTATTTATAACTACTATTCTATTATTACAGACCAAAATAGGAACTGAACTAAACTGCCTAGTATATAAATCCCCAATTCTCTATTTTTTCCAAGTTCCAAGAATATATATATTTACTAGAACTAATAAGTTTATTAATCTAGTAGTAATTAGTATTATAAGATTTTTAATACTAATTATTAATTCCTTCTTTTTATTATTTCCTGGATTCTATCCTATTCTATAAAGCTAAACTTATATAATTTAGTAATAGGCTATATAATATAGGCTTTCCCTACTTCTCTGGCTATTTCTTTTATCCTACTATTTTAAAGAATTATCTCTATTAGGAGATATAATCTGAGTATTAATATATATTCTATAACCTTAAACCCAAAAATATCTTATATCTAGTCTATCCCATATATATTTCTCCTTTATTATTTTTTTTACAAGAATTCCTTAGTAATATTTTGCCTTATATTAACTCGAATATAATTACAGGATATTATATCTATTCCTGTATTATATAAGAGTTATATTAATACTTTCTATTATATCTGCCTAGAATCCAAAAAAGAACCGGATAGTATTATATCCGAGGTTATATAATATATTCTCTTTATAATTTCTAATACCTTCTTTCTAGCTTCTTTTAGCTATATCGAGAATCGAGAAATAGTACTATAATTAATAAATTCTTCTATATAGCTGAGATTAAATTATAGCCGGAATATAATCCCGAATAATATAATCCTTTATCCTAGGAAGTACTATTAATTAGCTCTTAACTTGAAGTAATACTAATAGTATAATATCCGGATTAAAATAAGTATATAATATTCCTTTTTATAAAGTACTAGCTATTCTTCTACTAATTCCTGGTTTATATATAAGATAAATCTCGACCTAATATATTATATAGAGCTAATAATAATACTAGAAACTATAGCTTATAGAAAAACTCATTACTAGTTTCCGGATTATACTATTACTATAGTATAGTAAGATAGAACGGATTCCTGCTATTCTGAACTATTTTTCTTATTAGTCTTATTTTATAAATATATATCTTAAATAAATATACCTTACTCTTATAATCTCTGGCTAATAAATAGAGATAGTAGTAAATATATAAAGGTTAAACTAAAACTAATAATATTTGGGACTAGAATATAGAGAATAGCTATATCCGAATTAATAATATAATTTAAAGAAAGATAATTAGAAGGATACTAAAGATATGCCTTCTAGATTAAAGAACTCGAAATAAGTATTAAATTATTCTTAACTAGTATTATTATAGGTAATATAGCTATTATAAAAGAGGTAAGATAATTATAGGAGTTATAAGTATATAAATAAGGCCGAATAGCAGATTAGATAAGTTAGAAGAGAATAATAATAGAGAGAGGGCAAAGTAGTTAGGATAAAGAGATATTTATATTATAGTAGAAACTATAGCCAAAGCCATATTAGTACTACTTGCCCCTATTTAGGTATACTTGGTTAGCTACCTAAATAAAGTAGTTATACTTATTTATTAGAATAGAGGAAGAATTGAGTAATACTAGTTTTAAGGTAAGTATAATAGATATATTATTAAATTATATTTAATATAGAATATATATTATTAGTAATTCTAATATTTCGAGACCTATTCTTATATAGACTAAAGTATTCTCTATTCTAGAATACTTAAATAATATTAGTTTGAGGCTTATATTTTATTATTCTTAATATAAAGAAATACTTATTAAAGTTTTAGAACCAGATAATTTTACTATATTTATTTCTAAAAATAATTATACTAGAAAATACTTATTAAGACTATTCTATAAATATTTCTATTCTAATATATATTATTTTATATCTTTATATAATATAGTTTATTATTTTAAATATTATTCAAAAATAAAGAAAGATTATAAATATAAGTATTCGAGACCTTATAGAGATCTATATAAGCCAAAATACCAAGTTATATTATTTAATATCTTTTTATTATATAGATATATTACTAGATAGCTAAGATATTATAAGATATAAATATTAGAAGAGATTTGTTATTTAATCTAGATAAAACAAATTATATAATATTATAAATATAAATTCCGAGTCTATTATTATAAACTATTTTTAGATATTAATTACTCTTATTTAGTAACCTATAAAATAGTACTAACTTATAAATATAATTATATATATATTTATAAAGATTATAATACTAGAATTAATAATATAATTATTAAAAAAATATATAAAGTTTATAATACCTAATATAAAAAACTATATATAACTTATAATTATAGCTATAAAGTTCTATACTATAATAATATATCTTATCTTCTTTATATAGAACCCTGTAAAATTAGCTATATAGTAGAACCTCGATATAATAATATTAATTTTAGTGCCTTTTTCTAATAATCCACCGAGGTATTATTAAATTAAGGATCACGTATATATATAATAAATAAGGAAGGACCTCCGTAGCACTCGTTAATTAGCTTCTATCATGCCTCCGTCTCTTTTTGGGCTATTTAGGGGCTAGAGAACGAGTAGTAAGATTAAGGAGCTGTGATTTAGTAAGATTAATAGCCTAAGAGATTATACTACTAGTGCCAGAGGGCCCTGAAGTATTAATAAATTGCTCCTTCTCTTAATAAATTAGAATAATATACTACTAAAAATTAAAGGTTGGGACCGAAAAACCTTATAATAATCATAATACCAAGAATATTATAAGCCTAAGGCTAAAAAAGTGCGGGACCTTAAGGCCATATTATATTACTAAGAATATTGCTATATTAGGGATCGTTATATCGAGGTTCTATTATAATTATTTGAAATATAGTAAACTATATTATAAGCCTTATATATTATATATTAAGAATTATTCTTAGTTTTATTTATACTATAAATAATCCTTATTATTATATATAATATCCTATAAACTACTACTATATTTAGAATACTATATAAAGATATTAGCTTATAAATATTAATATTTATTTATTTATAGAGAGATTTATCTAGGTATTATATATTATTAGACTTATATATATTTAATAATTAAAAAAATAATTATTAATTTTATTTTATTATTTATTTTCGAAAAGATTAATCTTAATAAAAATTCTTATATTATACTATCCTATAGATATATTCTTATTTTAGAAAGTATAAAAAGATATATAAATATATTAGATTTCTATATTATAAATAATAAAGAATTAATTATAGACCTAAAAAATAGTACTAAACTATTTTCTATTTCTGGAATAAAAAGCTACCTAACTTGCTATAGCCCTTTATAAAACCTTAATTACTATAGTTATATTATTTATTAAGTATTAATTAATAAGGTAATAAAGAAGTTTATTATCTGAATTAATATAGAATTTATTTCTCTAGTTACTAAAATGCAAATAATTGAAATAAACAGGCAGGTCAATAAGCCAGTCAGTCAGCCATTAGCTCAGGTTTTTTAACAGCTAATTAGCTTATATAAAGTGGGTTAGCTGACTTACTTAGCTAATTCGGCTAATTAGCTGCTGATTAGTTGAAGATATAAATCTCAGAAAATTATATTTAAACTAGCTTCAAAATAATAGTATCCCCAAACGTTTCCATTATAATTACCCCCCTCCTCTGCCAGTTTTTTAAGTATTCGTAATGCCATAAGCTCTTTCCTAATAGTCTAGAACTCTCAGAAGTAGTTAGTTTCGTATAAGACGAAAATACTCGCTTGTACTCAGAGCTTATAGCTGGAATACTAAGAAAATTATATGCTATTTTAGTAAGATGAGACCATTTAGACTCCCGTGCTTTCCAGTACTCTATAACTCCCAAAAGATTAGTAGGGGGTTTAGCTAAATATAGGTAAAACTCGTCTTTTGTATAAGTAGGCCTCTTAGGACGTAATAAATTAGAAGGCACTATCTGATTTAGTATATTCTCTAGGTAAGATATCGTTTTTTCAGGCTCTGGGAACTGATTCGTTCGACCTAAAATACTATTATCCCTATACTATTTCTCCCAAAGCTTACATTTCTTCGTCTTTGCCAAATTAAAAGTATACGCTTTCCCTAGTAATATCTAGTATTAATTAAATCAAGTAAACTTAAACCGAGAATATAAGACTATTAAAGCTATTTATACAAGAGAGTAATCTGTCTTCTTATACTATAATATTATAGTATTTTAAGCTAAAGTAATTAAGCTTTAAATACCGGGATATTTATTAAAATCTCTAGCTTTTGCCTTTTTTTCAAGCTTCTCAAAATAACTAAAAAGGAACTCAAAGACAGAAAATACCTCCTATAAAGTACTATATAAAGCCTTTCATACTTCGTCTTTTAGATTATAATTACCTTCCAAGTTCTTAGTTAATCAGAAAAGAGATTCAAGCTAATCTCTAATAATCTCAAAAGCCCTCTATTTAGCTATAGTAATATAGTCTTCTAAATAGATCTCTTAATTATCAGAATTATTAGAATCTCTCAAATTATTAGTATAGATATTTAGGGCCTTTTTAAGTTTAAGGGCTTTTCTAATTATCTAATATATTGAATTCTAATATATTCCCCTATCTAAAACAAGCTTCTATTACTTGCTTAAAGCGATTCCGGTATTAGTATTAATTTATAACTTAGTAAAGATATCTATCCGCTTTCCTAAATTTATAATATATACTACCAAGTTATATAGCTTCCTAAGCTTTTCCCGCTATCTCTAAAGCTTTTAACGCTCTCCTGTACCTGCTTCCTTAAAGTCTTCTTTCTAGCTTGACTCGTCTTATCCAAATAAATAGGCTTCTATAATAAAGTTAAGAATATATCTTATATAGTATAGTCTTTTCTAAATTAGATTAAAATCCATTTATTAGCTAAGCTCCTATAATATTATATTATTATTTTGGGTATTATTAAGTACAAAATAGCCCAAATTATCTTTATTAATACCAAAATGTTAAAATAATAGCAAGATTACTATAGCTTAATCTAATAAAAGAAGTTAGTTATATAATCTCGGAAGGAAATTAAGGTCTGGCCAAAGCTCTCCTATTAGCTAGAAACGCTCGGGAACGCCCGAATCACGCTATACTACTTTTGTAAATTATTAATACTACTATATAAAAATCTATTTATAGTAATAGTAAAAATCCAGACTTACTAATACTACGTTTCCTATAATTAGGGAGCTCTAGTAACCTAATTAGGCGTATTACATTCTCTCCTTTATAATTTACTATATATATAATAATACCCAAAATACTAATTTTCTTATACTTTAAGCCCTAGCTATTAAAAGTATAATATATTCGTAATTTTACTATTTTAATCTCTTCTTTAATTTCTGGCTTAAAATAATAAAATATCTCATTAATCCAGAACTTTATTATATTATAGGAAGATAATAGAGTATTTATAGCTTGCATATTAGCAATTTTGAAGGCATATTTTAGTCAGGGAGAAGCTATTTTATAAGACTTAATATTATTTATTATAATCTATTTAATAAATATATTTATAAATTCCTACTAACAGAACGGGATTGCCTGCTTATAGCCTCTATTAACCGGCCCTGAAGCTTATAGGCCATTATTTCCATACTATGCTCTCTATATATCTCCTTAGTAATCAAGAAAGTAATAGGTAAGGAGATAATTTTTAGTATTTTTGAGAAAGTTACTATTATAATACCATTCTCGGCTTCTGGAAAATTCGGGATTATAGTAGCCTAAAAAACTAATAAGTATATAATTACTATATAATAATAAAAAGTCATATAAAACTTATATACCTATATAGTAGGCTTATCTTTTTTACTTATATTAGTAAGAGTATAACCAAGCTACCAAACCCATACTATTCTCTTCCGCTTAGTAGTACCTGTAATAATATGTTTTTTCAGAAGCCGTATAATTATAACTGCGTAATCATTATATAAAGGCTCTTCTGAAGTATATGGAGAGTAATTAGGGCGTTAATCTTCGGGGGAAGGCTTGTAAGGGTTATAGTTTTGATTATAAGTTAGTACCGGCTAATTATACCGATCTCGTATGTCCTTCCTTTGCTCCCTAGGCGTACTGCCCATTATCTGGCTAAATACATTCGGAAGATTTGATAATGATTCAGAAGGTCTAATTAAGAGATTACAAGAGACTCGACTAGTAGGGGTGGATGCGGTATTCATTTTGATATTGATTAAGGAATTAAATACCAAGTATACGAGCTAAGGAGATTTTCAAGGCTAGAAGGCCTAGTAATTAAGGCTATAATTACCTAATTATCCTACTAATCCTCCCAAAAACTCCAATTATTATATATTTAAATGACTCCAAAATCGCAAAATTAGTATGACTTAGCTAATCAGCCGCTTTTAAGCTAGTAGATTTTTAGCTGACTGACTGATATAAAAATTAAAGCCTAACTAAATAGCTTAATAAACTAGCTTATAAGCTAGCTAATAAGCCGGCTGGCTTATTAACCAGCCTGGAAATAAAGCTTTATAAAACTACTAGAGGTAGCTAAAAGGCTTCTAATAAGATATTACCAGAAACTTCTTTATTAGGACCTCTTTAATTAAAAAAGAATTATAATTACTAAATCTCTCAGATTAAAATACTTATATAAAAAAAGAACTAATATAAAATAATTATTAGGCTTTAAAGAAAGATTAAGAAATTTCTATAATAGGCTAATAAGAAAGAATAACTCTTTAGCTATATTTATAACCTTATTTAAGATACTAGTAGATATTATAAAATTAATATTAATTTATATTCTAAAGTCGATATTTTTTAGGTATATAACCGACTTCTAATTATAGTACTACTTATTAGATATAACTATACTATTCTCCTGACTTTCCTTAATAATTAGAAAGGCAAAACTAGTATTTAGGTTAATTTAAATATTAATAGAAAGAAATACAAAAAATTAATAATAGAATTTTACTTAAGAAATTAACTAGGAAATTATATTAAGGGCCTCTTATACTAGATACGGTTTCTTGCTCTCGAGCAGAGCCTTATAGAGCCTGAATTAGAGCTTATATAGCTCTTGGATAAGGCTAGGGAATATCTTTAGCTTATATATAAAATATATAATAAATATCCCGGCCAAATATAATATATTAAATAAATAGAATAAAATAGAATAATAGCTATTACTTATATTCTATTTAAGTATAAATCCCGTTACTTATATTTTATTTATATATTACTTAAGTTATTTATAAATATTTATAAATAACTTGAATAATACACGTGATTATTATATGTAATGGGGCTAGCCTAGTCAGGTAAGGCTTCCGGGGGGGCCGCACCTAGTACTACTTTACTACCTAATTAGGTAATAGTAATACTTAGTAAGTAAATTGAACCTTAGTAATACTTCAAGTTTATTATTAAAGAAAATTAGTATTTAAGAACCCTTATATAAGCCTGCTTAATAAGTATCTTAGTTCTTTTTTTAAAATTAAAATATATATTAATTTATAATAATCCCGTGACTTACACGCGACTATTTATAGTTATTCATATTATTTATATTATTTATAAATAATTATTCTATTTTACTCAAGTTTTTTAAGCTATTCGTTATTTATATTTTATTTAAGTTATTTATAAATATTTATAAATAACTTAAATAACTTGAATAATCCTTTAATATACTAGCCAAATAGCAGGTATAAGAAACAAAGTTAAGAATATTAAGAAGATATTATATAATTCAATATTCTATATACTAGTAAGTAATAAGGAAAAAGCAGCTATATATATAGCTATAGTATATAACTTTAAAGGTACTAGGTATTAGTATTACTATAAGAATAACTACCTATTTATAATTAGAGAATATAGTATACCGATAGAAACCTCTCAATATCTATAGTATAGTTCTCCGGTTAGTAGTTATAATTATTAGGCTATTAGTAATATCAGACCTATAACGGACTTAGAATATTAATTCGGCAGAGTCAGAATTTGATATTAGAGACATGGAGTTTAATAAGAAGAGTAATAGGAATAATAAAGACGAATACGGGAATGTTATCGAGACTAGAAGTTTATTACTTGGATATTGCACATTATTTATTTAATAGAGGCAATTGGCGTTAGAGATTTTTTTGCTCGATATATATAGTCAATAGCCCCCCTAATATCGGACCCTTTAATAACTTATTATTGTACTTGACCTAGCAAAAAGAACGTTGAGAGAACCGTAAATTCAATGGCCTATAACCCTTCCTTACTAGTCTCTCGTACTCGAAGACTCGTAATAAATACCCGCCAAATACGTATATTTAGCCTCCAGGTTACTTCCTGGGTCTCAAACGGTGTGCCCACCCTTGAGGCTTTGCAGCCTCGACTAATATTGACTTCTTGGGTGATAGGTGGTTGCGAGGGGCTATAGAGTTCCGCTTGTACGTCAAACGACTTGGCTCTGTAAACATGCCATGTTAGACTGGTTTATAAGCGATTCTTCGACTTGCTCGCTTCGTTGCGGGTACCTTTCGTTATTCTCTCTTCTTATCTACCAGAGCTTCTGCAAGTATTAATGCGGATCGTTTGGATCGGTTACTACTGCCAACTTTTTGGTCTCGGGTAGTACTCTTTACGATTCTCGTACGGCGGGGCTTCTGAAGATAGGAGCGTAATTGCGACAATTCCATGCTCTCCGTACGAGTATTAGTTTGCTTATCTATAGTTATAGCTTCAAGAAACGCCTCGGCGAGTCTTTATATCCTAAGATTATATGCCTTCATTTAACGATTATACTCCTAAGGATCCTTGTTAATAAGCTTCCTTATTACATCCACTTTCTCCTTATTAATTCTTTTGTATTCCTTCTCTTTATCTCGTGCAATCTGTATAGCCTTACGGCGAGCTATTATGTCTTTATACTAATCCTTCCCCATAGAGCCCTGACCCTATCCTCGCCACTCGTCTATATCATCTGGTACCGTCGCCCCCTCTTCATTATGGTTATTACTGAATTCGCTACTATCCGGTGGCTAGTAATACCTGGGAGAGGGCTCATATTTATAATATTTGGGAAGGTACAGCCAGCCAGTCCCCTGTAAGCAGCCCGTACTTGGCTAAGAATCCTATAGCTATATTTAGTATATGGAGCCCATTTGAGCCCTCTGGTGGATGGAAAAAGTGCGATCAGCGGCTAAATTCAGCCACTACCTAAACCCAACCAAAGCCGTATCTAATAGGCTAGATGGGAGTCAATAACAAATCCCGGTGCGGAGGCCCAAAAAGGATCCTGGATTTGAGAATAAGATATTGGAAGTAAAATATTTCCAGAGGACACCCGCGCTTGTGGGGTAGAATGAATGTAGGGGACATATGTTGAAATCCAATACGCGTATACTTCCGCCGTATTATTTAACCCTATTTCGCAATACTTTATTCCTCTACTTGTTTATATAAGTATATATAAAGCTTAAATTAAGTTTATAAAAGTCTTTTAATAAATAATTATAAATTAAATAATTAATATTTATACTTTAATTAGCTAGTTAGTTATATAATATTCTTATAATTATAAACTTTAAGAAAACCTTAAGTAAAATAATACTTCTTATCTTATTAATTATATTATACTAATTGAACTTAGTAACTCTATATAAGGCCTACTTATAGAGTAGTCCCCTGGCCAGAGAGAACTGATATAGTCGCCTTGAATATACTATCTAGCGACTGTGTGACTCTTCCATGTCTAGTGTTTGTAGCGAGTAGTTATGAGGTTCCTGCCTTCGTGGCGTAAAGCCCCAAAAGTCATCTTCCCATGATTTCCGTACCTGCAACGTCTTCTTGAGCATTGATTTCTCTTCGTCTACCATTGCCCTAATATTGGGCGTATTGACCAACAAATGACGAATTTTGTCAACAATCATCTCTGACATCCGCATCAACCCAAAGATTTCCTCAAGAGATCTACTTTCTGCATCACTAGGCTCCCAGAGACTTGGGCTTCTGGTACCGTGTCCCAGGCGATCGTAATCAAAGGATATGTCTTCCGCCTCACTATGGAGCTTCTCGTATGTCTGGTGATAGAGACTATCGTAAAAGTACATGAACGTAGACATGACTTGGATCTCAAATCGTAATTCTGGGGGTCTGCTCATTGAGGATTCAGGGTCGCGCGATCTTACCGCAAAATGGAGTGCGGTGTAAACAGGAAAGCCACTGGTGCTGCCCACTGGGTTCGAACGCGACATTGGATGTTGTTTGGTATCCAGGACGTCAAATGTCTGGGTAATTAATTTTTTGACCATCTTGAAGTCATTTTCACTACGCCATGCCAGGATAATTCTTGCGCCAACTAGATCCTTGATATCCGCGAAGATAGAAGCGTTATCTGTGTAGGGTCTATGCACAGGCGTGTCAGCTTTCATCTAGCAAAGATCGACGATGATGAGAGCGTGTAGTCGAGTTGGTTATTTCAAACAGACGATTATATTTAGTAGAGACTAATCAGTTCGTCTTGTGTGAGAGTTTCAATTATGAATCATTCTATAACTCACTTTGTCTTCGCCCTGTGATTCAACTTCCTCTCCAGTGACTCTGCCGTTTTAGTTCGACATTCCCAGAAATATTTGATGTTATCATGCGGCTTAAGCATGCCATCACATTCTCTCCTCAACTCTTCGCCGAGACGGTCGTAATATGGCTTGTCTCCCTCGAAGCCACGCACGAATCGCGTGATCAGATCCATCCCTAGGAGCTGTCAACGCGAATGAACTGACTATTTTCTAAGTGTCTAGTACTTAGGGCGACTCAACAGAAAAGTTCCGTTAAAGCTCACCAACTTTGACAGACTCAAGTTATCGATGAAGCAAAGTTTTAAAAGGGTGTAGCTGCAATTAGAAATCGTGCTGTATAGGTGCTAGCGAGGCCGGAGAGGTGACGAGGTCAAGCTAAAGAGCGTCTAAGAATGTAGTAGGAAGTCTTATAGAGAACATGCAGTGTGGACAATCATATCTCTGCGTATGCCACACCTGGTGAGAAATGTGCGGTACAGAACTGACGCCTAGAAAAAGTGACGAGAAGAAAAGGTGAACAAGCGAGTTGTGGCGTTAAATTGTGGGACTTTGCTGAGAAGGCATCACCCACCAACCGCCCACACCCCCTTCCCGCTCAACTTGGATTTTGGATACCTTAACGCGCTAAATTCGAAATATTAATACAATATTCGCAATATTTCGAGTATTCTCTATAATCTGGAAAGTTTTTAGAATTTTCTAAAGACTTTGAAAAATCGAGAAAATTTTGGTGGGGTAGGCGTGGGCGGGAAGGGGGTTTGGGCGGTTGGTGGGTGATCCCTTCTATATGCACACGTGAACTGGCTAGAACTATGCACACGCACAGGCCACCACCTCCAAATTCGAGGTGTCTGTAGGTGTCACGACTCAATCGAACCTTAAATACTTCTAAAAGTGAAGCTGTTAATGTTGTTTCTATATGACCGACTAATATCCTACGCTCTTAATCTCTACCCAGCTCGCCCTCGCTATCCATTCCTCTATATCATCATTCTCATCATCGCTGTCTCTTAAGGCGTGGATTTTTTGCGACTCTAAAGCCCTCAAGCCGTACCTCAGGTCTTATTTAGGCAACTGTGATGGTCAAGTTTCTCCTCTCAGCTGAGAGTTGGTGTTCGGGTAGGCAATGGATGCCAGGAATTGTGTCTGGTAAGGAGCCTCCGGTACTCACCTAAGACACGCAGCCTGATCTTTCGGTGAGCGGAATAGGAAATGATGGTGGTGGCTGTGAATTTGACTCCCTGCTCGTGTGCGATGATTGCAGCCAGTCATACATCGAATAGGAAGTACGCAGAGGCAGCACTCAGTTCTGATTCGCAAGTATGCAATCACTTCCAGCCGCAATAAGCAATAAAGAGAAAACTCTGCACCGCTTTACATATGCATGATGCTGAAAGCGATCCATGACAGCGGTCAATTTAAGGTCCGGACCAGTAGAGTTGCTAGTAGTCCTCAGTCTATTTTAGGACCTCATTCCATATATGTAACATTTCAGGCGGCTTGTGCAGCCTATCTCTCACCGGCGGGAGCCACCACCCCTGAGTTCGCGTCTCAGAGCCGCTGCGTGGCCCCGGTGTGCTTGCTATAACCATAGTTCAGGAGCCAAATTCAAAACCCCTTGGTAAGCCTCATACACATCTAGCATAACCATGGATCATACTACTACTGATAGTACTATTACTTATGCCCAATGGGTCTCTGAGCAAACCAAACGAATTCCTAGCCTGTCAACCGTAGCCGACTTTTTCGAGCGTGATTCCAGTCGGTCTGCCCCAAATAATTGTCAGATAGTATGCCATCTGGCTTTCTCTGATCCCAAAGGCAAGGGTCCAGTCCCTCTGGGGCGCCCACTGAATGCAGCAAATCTTCAAACCTTCCTGACAACACCTGGGAATTTCGTGAACCCTAGACCCGACGGCACCGTCGCAGGAAGGATATTAACCATCGAAGATCCGTCCAAAGATGTTGTAGAGATCCTTGGACGTACGCTAAATATCGATCCATCGTTTTTCGGAGGGCACATTGAAACAGCCCGCGTGGACATTGAGAGATCAAGGACATCTATGGCCACTTTACCCTCAAATGCAGCGAAACAGGACTTCGTCAATATCACTTATCAAAAGGCGCTGGTATTTCCTGAGTCAGGTCCTGACAAACCACCAGTGCGATACACCGGAACACTCCTTCGCTCCACGAACGTCCCGCGGAAACTGGCGATACTCCCTAGGAATAAGGAGAGTTTTATCGGTCTCGTGAAGCATTGCTGCTCGGTTCTGAAAATCAAGAGTAAGACTAAGAATGGGCCTTGGCTTGGTAAGAAGACATGCAGTTGTGAAGATAGGATGTATGTAAGCTGATCAGTCACAGCCATAGTGCTTGTTGATGCTGCGATTGAGCCGACGGAAAAATATCTCGACGGAATCACTGGGTGGGATTTGACATCACACCCATTCCAAGGCGGGTTTGCCGACTACGATGATACCCCTCGGTATACCACAAGTACCTCCAACAATCCATCCATCAATTTGAATCGAAACTCGATGCTCGATGCAGTCAGCCTGTACTGGGAAAAAGGATACCCCCCGGCGTTCAATACAGCCGATCCGACTTTACTTTCGTTATGTTACCATCCACTGAAGATTGTAGCCTCCGAGTGGATGACGTATCTCGAGGTCATGTTTCACGCCATTAAGAAATATGAATATTCGCCGGATAAACTTAAAGGGAAGGATTCCATCGAAAAGGAGGTCCAAAAAATGCATGGCGACCTCAAGAGTGTTCAAGCATGGTGCCGTCGCAGCGAACAATCATACGCCAAGGTCAAAGCTGTGGTTGAATTCCTGGAGTCTCACAACCACACAGCTACTGTTCCAGATAAAGACGAGCCAGCAAGCAGCTCAGCAAGCAGCTCAACCGGCAAGTCATCGGCCGCACCAGATTCGGAAATCAAATCAGCACTTCTAATGGACTTTCAATACATCGCTGGTAAAATAGCGGTGTACGGACGCACGCTCGAGAATTCTGTGACAATCGTCACTTCGCTGATTCAGATAGCTGATAACAGACTCTCTTTTGCGGAGACACTGAACGTCAACCGTTTGACAAATATTGCCTTGATATTCGTACCGCTGTCATACGTCTCAGGTCTGTTTGCTATGTCTGATAAGGTAGCGCCTAGTCGCGAGGTTATTTGGGTTTATATCACTGTGGCGTTACCGATCTTGTTGATTGTGCTCTTTCTTTCACAGAAATCGAAGTTGGCTAAGTGGTTTGATGAGAAGTTTCCTAAATCTTCAAAATGGCTTGCTGAGTTGCCTGGGAAGTTCACTAAGTTTCCTAGAAAGTTTACTGAGTTGTCTAAAAAATTCTCTGGTTGGCGTAAGAAGTGTCGACGCAGACCGACTGGTGAAGAAAATCCGGCAGTCTCTGATGCAACTTCTACACCAACTATCAACCAAAAGCAAGTTGATACCGCTGTACCCTAGGTAGAACAGAAATTAATGTAAAGAAAAAGAGAAACTTGTGCTTCTGCTTCGTGCTCTTTTAAGATTCTCACACTTGTCAAGCTCGAGAAATAGAAGTAGATGTATTCTCCGCCAGTTATCTATAAATATCGCACGTCGGGCATATCTTCCCGATATCTGTCTAATGCTGTTCCCACCACTACCTCTGATCAGCAAGGCTTACTTTATTCTTTCGTCCTCTCAATCGTGGCTCATTGGCCTTTTGGCCAGCTACCTCCAAGTCTACAGTAGGCTGCGCAACTGACAACCAACACATTCTAGCGCGACCTGTGTTCGCATCAGCACTATATTGGCGATGGCTGGATGTGTCGGGTTTCTGGTCTTGCTCGTGGATGGCTTTGGATATCTATCCTGGAGGTATTGATGACAATAACTTCGATGGCTTCTGCTTCTTTGTTTGAGGTTTGGCAGAATCACTCACCGGAGGTCACTCATGGTTGCCATCCCCAGGACTCTTATTGACACACGGAGTGCACCGGAGCTACTAGCAGGAGCACCGTTCATCTTAATTGCAGTTGACAATGACGGTTTTCTGGAGCTACCCGGAATGCCACTGGATATGGACTGGGATAGGCAAAGGATCAGACATCGACCGAGCTTGAAGTACTTGGAAGCCTTACTGCCGCATGGAGCAGATCCCTGCGAAGAGTATGGAGGCTCAACAGCTTGGAACCATGTCATAGACAGGTTTTCGGAAATTCTGCATGACCCCGAAGTCCTCGAAGCCTGTCAAGGTTCCCCAATTTGGCAGTCAGTGAGTAGCTGGACGTCGCCCAGATCTTCATTAATAACGGGGCAGGTACTTCTTTGCTTCACAGCAAGACGGCGCACTTAGTGCATAATTTTGCGAGACGATTTGGACGAGATTATAGGGAATCAGTCGAGCTAGAACGTCTGTGTCAAATTTTAGAAGTCGGTTATGAAAATCTGGAGATTTCGGATGACAGTGAAGATGAGAGCAAGGATGAGAGTGTGGACGCATCCCAAGACACCGGTTATCATCAGCACAGCCGAAAGAGGAAATGGACAGACTAGATAGATTACGACTCAAAGCACTGGGGAGTCCGCTGACAAGGGCAGCAACTCCAGCAACGAAGACGACGAGTATGCAGACGAAGAGCAAGAGTATCCGGGTCAAGACAAGGCCGACCGCAAGAGAAATTTGGCGGCTTGGCTCACTGACCTGGTTGGCCTGGTTGCTTCTTAGCCGTATAATGACAGCAATTCAATACAGCCTCGCAGAAGTCAAGGGGTCGTCATCCACTATAGCACGATTACTTCAGGTAATCAAACTATGCAAGACGGCGTTACTAGAGACAGGCTAAGCTCAGAGCTCGGCGGCATCCTTTACTTCGAGATAGAAGCGGCGGGACTAATAAATAGTTTTAGTTATCTTATTATCCGAGGTATTTATAACTATATAGATTCATGTAAGAATAAGACGTAGTAGCCTTATATAGCTGCAATAGTAGCTGTATATATAATGGCGTTCTTATTAGTTATATTTATAAATAAAGTAGCTAGGATATATATTATAGATAAAGCTATTAATAAAGTATAGTAATACTAATTTATTATATCTTAACTCTAGAAAATAAAGATAGAAGTTTATTAATAGAAATCTACTATATAGAAATATAATATACTATATAAATTAAGCTTGTATCCATACTACTAGCTAGGCCAAAAGACTATAGTATTCGTAACCAAGTCGCAAATACGCTTAATACTATATATATGCTAGTACTGCACGTCACGTGCTCTATAGTTCACGTGCTGCTTATTATAAGAAATCCCTATCCCCTTCTTTTACTTTATAATAAGTAACCGAGTCTCTTATTACTATTATTAGTTTAATAAGTTAGTAAGTACTTTTAAGGATAATATACTTTCCTTTTTTACTTTTATTTATTATTAAAAGACTATTTAATCTTTTAAATATAATATAATAAGAGATAAAATATTATTTATATTATAAATATAAATTAGGTAAACCTATATTAAAACTATAACGTGTGTCTGGCATATATATATGGCAATCACGTGACTGTACTCTAGCCATTTAACCGTAATCAGGCATGTTCACCTTACGGGGTGAATACTATAGTCTTTTGGCCCAGCGGGCTATAGTGCGAGCCTAATTCTTATACGTTACAAGAACTATAGAATTCAGGGCTCCGAGTACTTTAAATAATTTATTAAAGTTAGTGTATTTCCCTTAGTATATTAATACGAGAGGTGTAACGGCGCTGGCTGGGGGCCAAAGGGGGGTGGCTATCACATGACTGGTTTCACCTAGCTAGCCGGCGTTTCAGTGGTTTTAGCTAGTATTTCCCTCCTTTTATCCCCTTTCCTTCTCTCTCTCCTTCTTCTCCTTAGCTTAGTATTCTCAATATATGGGATTTTCCTGGATCTTTGAGCCTTTATACCATTGCCTTGATCCCGCCGTTACAAGAGGTTAATTAATGGACTAATTTCGAAGTAAGGAGCCTAATTACTTAATTACTTATTTATTTAAGCGAACTCCGGTTTATAAATATGAAGTCGAATACAAGTGAATTTTTAAAATATTATAATATAATAAAAACCTCATCTCTAATTAGCTTATAATCAGGCCTTCTATAAGACGAATAAATAAATAAATTATAATAGTTTTTTATATAGTAAATTAAAATTAAAGGAAAGCTAGATTTTTTGGTATTCCTCTACTTTAGGTTAGTCTGGCCCTCAATTGACACCCCTAATTGCTACCGGGGGGGGGGCTCGTTTCACAATTTCTCTTTATTCCTATTCCAAACATTTCGGTAAAGCTGCGGAAAACCAGATATAACCATACCCTCGGTTATCTTCCCACAATTTTGAAAACCCGAAACCGAATTTCTATTATATTTATTCTCCGGTAGCGGATCTGACATGGCAAAAAACGATGCGGTCCGATCGATGGTAGGAATACCCGGCCCGGCCCAGGATTTGAAGTATATACTAAAGGCAAAGTATTATATATATAGTAGCAGGGATCGTACCCGAGTTACTGGGTCAGTAACTCGGCAGTAGCAAGTAAACTAGTGACTACTTTAAGTCTAACTTTAAAAGAGGATAGGAGAAATACGAGTTTGGAAAGAGAGGTTTTGAGATTTCAAGTTCTAGTAGTTTATAACTTAAAATCTTCTATAGTAGGGAAAAGAGTTTCAGTATGGGAGTTCTTGTAAAATTGATAAGGGAATTTGCTGGCACTAGCTAGGCAAAGGTACTAGTAAGGCTAAAAAACAAAAGTGGATTTGTGAAACGTGGGGTACTATAACTACTATTACTTGTTTCCATATTCCAATTACTATTATTTACGACTGGTGTAGTAGACATGCCTTGGGCAACTAAAGGTATAATCGAGTATAATATTAAAACCGGAGTGGTATATTCTTCCAATAATTAGCTATAATATATTAAATCTCCTGATATAATATATAAGATTACCGGCTTCTTGTTCTTTCCCTTTACTCAAATCTAGTTTTCCCAAAGCTGCTATAGTATCTTCGTAGATACTAGTTATATAATTAGGGGTAGTAATAGGGGATACGCTAAAAGCGGCTTAATTCGGCTCGTTATATATTGCATTATAGGTTAGGGTATAGCATAGAGTTTCTAAACTTCTAAAGTTTTGGTAATCCGAAGCTACTATATATTTGTTTGTTTCCGGTACCTCGTAATTATAATTATACTTATAATTTTTGTAGAAACGTTAAAACGCTCCCTAAAGCAGAAGAAAGAAGCAAAATACTTTTCTATATTTATCCAAATAATAGCGATAATAATAACCTCTATCCTCCTTCTATTCCCACCCACTTTACTATATAGGAATATACTTGTTCTTGCATTCCTTGTACTTGTCCTTGGAATGCTTCTTCTTTTTAGAGTATCTTGAAGATATGGGAATAATACGCAAAAGTCAGATATATACTTCCTTCCAAAAGATTGTACCCGTACTCCTTATATCCGTATATTATTATGCGGCTCTTTGTTTTAGTATAAAATGTTGCTTTCTCCCACAAATTTAATACCCTGGTGGATATTATATACTTGGATTAAACGGCGCAATTTTGGGATCTGGGGTTATATAGTATGGGAATTTGCATTAAACGATTGGTCGAAGCAGCGGGTCACCCCAGAGTCACCTTACTCGTTACTTCTTGCGGCGGGTGCAGGGGTTTTCGGAGGGTGTCGTGAAGCAACCCTTTCCAGCGCCGCCCTGTTGCCTTGAAAAGCAATTTCAGAGCACTGCCCAGTCCGGGAGAGGCGTTATTGCCATACGTTGTACAGAACACATTCTGAGATATATTTAAAAAGACCTCACCCATCGTCAGACAATGTGAAAAATCAACATCAGGCCGTCTGCCCTCTGATGTGTCTGCCAGACCGAAGCCTTCAACTCACCCCGACCTCCGGCGCTTCTTTGTATTCTTGGACGTCTCCGAACGAGGCTTTAACTTGGTACTGTAATGTACTTGCAATGTCCCCTTGCTCCTCTCCGGGAAGCGTTCTGAAATCTCATCCCACGATAAACCGTCTCCTTTTAGTTGCAGTAGAAGTTCATCGTCTTCGGACGAAAATCGCGAATTCCTGACGGGTCTGCTTATAGCTTGCTCTTGAACAGACAATCGTTCCGAGTCTCTCCTGTCACTACTGCTAGAGACGCTCCTGGCAATGCCTCGTCTCTGGGATGTTCCCCTAGGTTTTGGTAGTAGGTCTTGAGAAAATGTGAGACAGTATACGACTTTCGATTCGATAGTTTTTAGTATCAAGTATCCACGGATAGGAATCTCTTCGCTCTCCTGGATACTGCCAGAGGCGCTGAGGGAATGAGTGGAAGTAGTTTCTATATCGTTATATCCTGTATCCTTCGCCCGCCTGGCCCGTTTCCGAAAATATGGTCGGTCTCGTATCTCAGAGGCAGCGGTGTTGCTCATATCGCTATAATCTTCGTCGTTATTATCGGCACCTCCATCATCAACCATTTCCTGGTCAATGTCGCGGATCTCTCGTTCCTGGCCCGGAGCCGCGAGTAGAGCGACGGACTTGGGATCTTCGAGGTCGGTGGATCCGAGTGAGGCAGAAACGGTGCTAGCTATGCTAGCTAGTCCGGTGGGAGCTGGCGTACGGGATCACTTTCTGCGGACATCTCTAGTGGCGCCTCGTCGGCGGAGCTACTTTGGCAAGTGGTCGATTTCCTAGACCGACTGGTGGAGAGACGTCGCTGCTGGGCCCGGCTGTGGGGATTGAGTATTGTCAGGCTGGTCATCCCACAGCTTAGACATATTGCCGTCGAAGGTTGGAATGCCGCCGGAAACAGCGGACAACTTTGATCTCTTCGTAGAGTGGGTGTCGTCACCGCCCTCATCGCGTTCCTCAGTGGAGACGCTACACTCCCCATCCTCCAACTCCTTGGTAACATCGAGATTGACGTAGCTCGTGCATCCCTGCGTCATGTCGGTGTTTACCCGCAGTTTGCTGGCTCGGTGTGTGGCGGATTTATGGCCAAGGGAGGCCGATCCGGGACGATTAGCGGAGAGCCGAAGCTGGGCGTCATTGACTACGTCGTCGTTGCTCGTATTGCCGTCGTCTGGGTGGTCGGCGGCAAGACCACCACTTTCCTGACGGGTCTGCTCATAGCCCGTTCTTGCACAGGTAATCGTTCCGAGTCTCTCCTGTCACTGCTGCTAGAGACGCCCAGCTTCATCTTTCTTTATGGCTAGGCCTAAAAGAAACGTGCCTGCGCAAGACTATGCCAATATCGAAAGGCCCCAATTCAACCCAATTCTCCTCTAAATTCCGTATCTTATTATCCTTCCTCGCGGTCACATATATTGTAAGAACATATCCCAATACAGGCAGTGGCAGGCTAGCAACCCCAAGGTATGCCAGATTATGGTTTTTTTGGCCAAACCTCCGGCAATACCAATAGCACATAACGCAGCGACAAGGAAAAAGACTGAGATTTCCCAGGATATTTTGAAACCTTCTTCGACATAAATTCCCCATCCTTTCAAGGGTGCACGATGCGTTTCCAAGAGTTCGAACTTCCTATTGACCTTTTTTGGCGTACTGTCAAATGCCCAATGTGGAATACACACATTTTTTGTTGTCCACCGCTGGCTGGAATAGTAGATGCTCCTCGAAAGCGCTCTCGTAAGATCCGAATTGTACACAGATACCAAGGGCGTGATTTATTGCCAGTTATCTGACTTTCGACCTCCACCAGGGACATAGAATGGCCATTCCACCAGTGATCCATTAACATTTCAGACATAATTTCTGGGCCTTCTGGTTTCGGGACACTTGGAGAGTTGTAGCTCCATATTTGAGGTACTTGAGTTGGTGGTGGCCACTCCCATTCGTGGATCACTCCTTTCTCAGTCTCATGACTTCGGAACTGATATCTGTCAGGACACAACATAGATGATACGAGGCGGTAGACTTACATGGACAATGCGTATCTTTGTGACTGCTCTTAAACGTAGCTTCAGCAGCCATGGAGGTCTCTTCTGCTCATACTTTCTTCTCAGAGCATGAAACAGCTCTTTGTCTGTCAATCTTCTGGGAAGTTCCATGTGGGAAATAGACACAGTTGTTTTCTGGGCTGTACAGAGAAGCATCCAGCCACCTGTGAACATATGGGGGACTGGTCTTCGAATAACCGATGGCGAGCTCGAGCTCCCAAGACTACTTGCTGTGCGACTTACTTGGACGAAGTAAATGCCTTTCAACCTTGTGAATACTGTTATTCTCCTCTCGCGCGCTTTGAGATACCTTTTCTTTATCTCCCTGAATAGCTGCTGATCGCAATTGATGGTTTTGGCCGGTGCACTTTTGGGATCTATCATAACAGGGTCCATATGAGAGAGGGGGGGGTTCCATGTGGATACAGAGGTGGAGAAATCTAACTTTGTCCTTGACCTCCTTAATCGGCTCTCCATCAGTGGATTCAAGTCCCACCTGGGAAATATCTTGGGTGTCATCCTGTCCACCTTGGCTCGAATTACGTGCAGCGGCACTCAAGTTCATACCTGCTTGTAAATTGCCTGGTGCACTTCGGGTTAATTCTCGATGATTTCCGGCATATCTTCTATGCCTACTCAAAGCTATGCTCTTCAATATTGAAAGTAACGTGCTTATCCCGCTTTCACGCCACGTGACAATTTCTGCCTTAATACCACTTGAGATCATTCGATCTGCAATAGTCTTGACAACTCTGCGTTCCGAGATAAAATCATCATGAGACTGGCGACCGCAATGACAAGTCCATCGGATCCTAGAAACGTGTGGTGGCAACCAGTGTGTCAAATGAGTAGAGTAGAGTAGAGTAGTGGGTGCTACTCATACTCCACTCAACCAATTAGTACGCTACTTATACTCTACTCAATACTCAATGAGTAGGTACTTAAGTAACTTAAGTAGTCAGTCACGTGATCACACACGTGATCGGAAAATTGTCGGACCGTGTGTGGCGTGGATTTAAGGTTAAGGCTAGCCTAATTAGGAGGGTGCTTTACCTAATTAGGTAGTACTATACTTGCTAAGTGAGCCGAAGCTATAAGAACTTACTCGATTTTCCATATTACTTCTCTATATTATTAATTTAATTATTACTAATAATATACTTATAAATTAAGTTAAATTAGAAATTAGTACTATAGAGCTAAGAGAATATTTATAATTAATAGAATAGTAAGAAATATACTAGAAAATAAGAACTTTCTATAAAAAAGAGTAAATCTCCTTGATTTTCTACTCTTACTATACTTCAGAAATATATAATAAATTAACTATATACTCTATTAAAAAATATTCTATTATATATTTACTCTTCTATATTAATTATATCTAATAATATCCCAATTATCTCAATATATATTTAATATTTAATAAAATCAGGCCGATTTTACTTTAGAGCCTTTAAATAAGTAACCTTCTTTCTTTAAGTTTCAATACTTATTAAAGATCTTAGATTCTCCTAAGTCTAATCCCAAAGATCTCTCGGGCTATTAAACCATTACTATTTATTACTTATATTAAGGATATATATAAGTTATATAAATCTTAATTTAATAATATTAAAACTAATAATTTAATAATAAAAAGTAATATAATTAAAGAGTTTATAAACCTACTAGTAATTATAATATATACTTTCGAAACTCATATAAAAATATTAATTTAAAGCTCTTAAAAGAAGAAATAGACCCTAGTAAGTTATTTATTTTTAAAAAGATTTAATAATATTATAAGGTATTTATTAGTAGGTAATAAGATAATAGAATAAATTAGTATATTATAAAACTATAGTATTAAATTCAGTATAGAACTAATCTCTATCTCTCTTATAAGGTCCAGGAAAGCCCCCTCTAAATAGGAGGCCCTAATAACATATATATAATTAGTAATTTATAAGCCTAATATATATAATATAAGTAGTAGTTAGTTATAGTATTAAAGGGCCGCCGATCTCCCTAATTAATATTCGTAATATCCGAGGTTTGTTATATGCTTTTAAGTTACATATAACCCTATATATATTATAACTATACTTCCCTTTATAGATCTTATTCCCAAGATCTATTAATTTATTCTAGTAAATATTTAATTAATTATTTATTTAATTAAGATAAACTTCTAGTATCTTGGGAGGTGGTTTTACTAATATAATCTGGATAATAGATATAAAAATTATCTAATTAGATTAGGACTAAGTAAGTAAGAAAAAAGGGTAATTATATCCCAGATATAGGAACTAGCTAATAATTGCAATTTCGTTTGGGATCTGAGTATTTTAATTAGCTTAATCCAAAGTACTAAAATACTATTCTATAAAATTAATACTACCTATTAGATCTCGTATTAGAATAATCTAAATAGCTATATAGAAAGAATTTAATAAATATTTATATAAGAAACTTATATAAATATTTCTGAGATCCTAAAGATTATTTATAGGCTCCTGGAAGTATATATTAATTAGTTATACTAAATTCTAATTAGGACTAGTACAAAAACTAGTAATTAATCTAGATAGTTCTCTATTTTTATAAAAGAACCTCTTTATATTACTATATACTCTTTTCCTTTCTAATAACTATATATATAATAACTTTTCTTATTATTACTTTCTAATCTCTTTTTCTGCCCTTTTCCAAGTCTTCTTTAATTACCTTTAATTAATTCTATAATATTTTCTTCTGGTTTTATTATTTACTAATATAATAATAAATATAAAAGTAACTTTACTATTTTCTTTCCTATTACTAGTAAATACTTGAAATATTTCAAGTATTTATTTATTAATTCCTTTATCTTATATATTATAATACCTAGTAAGAAAAATTATAACTATTATAATAAGAGTTCTAAATCTTATATATTAGTAAGTTCTTTAGTTTTAATATCTATTAAAGCTAATATAATTTCAGATTCCTTATTACTTATTAGAGGCTTATTAGTTCTAGGAAGATACTATTATAATCTTTAAGAAATTTCTTGAAATATATTCTAAATAGTATTATACTAATAAGAATAATACTATTAATTGGGTTTTTAAAAACTAAAAGAATACTAATAAGCTTCGAAATTCTTCTTCCCGTTTTAATAAGGCAAAGAATAATATTATTTAAATTAGTATTCCAAAGATAAGTTCTTTCTAATATATTTAGATATTTACTAATTTCTTAAAGAAATACTATAAAGTCTATTTTTAAGATATTAATTTTATTACTAAGATTATTATTAAGATTACTAAATAGTTTATTACTAGTATTTCAAGTACTAATAATATAATACTTATAGCTATTTAGAACCTGATTTTAGAAGTTCGGGCTTTTTATAAGATATATATAATAGTTATAAGTTCTTTATTTACTTCTTTTAATATCCTTAATACTAATATTATTATAGTATAACTATATTTTATTAAAAGATAAATAGATTCCGGAAAGTATTAACTAATTCTTTACTAAGTCCTAAATAGAACCGGTATTTAATATTCTTATTTTAGGAATTAGGAATTTATAAGAATTAGAGTTTATTTATTTAAGATATCTATAACTAATTTACTTATAATAAATCTTTCTTAATCCTAAACCTTTTTTTAATAATTTAAATATAATTCTTATAAGCCTTAATAAAACTCTAGAAAACCTTTATAAGTAAAAAAAATCCTAGAAAAAGAATATTTCTATTATTATTCCGGGCCTTTTTTAGCTATTTAGGTTCTTTCTTTCTTTTAAATAGTCTTTTTCTTAGTAATTCAGAATTCTTTTTAATCTTAAGAAATTATTAAAAGATAGTTTCGGATTCTAAACTATAGTTTTAGTTATATAATTTCAGAAGTTTCTTGGAATTTTTAAGATTAGAAAAAATAGATAATTAGATATTATAATTTTTAGGCCAGGCTTTCTATTTAATTAAATATTATTATTCTTTACTTCTATTATTTTATTAGTAATTAATAATAGCTTCTATTTCCTATTCTTATTCTTTATTATTATTTACTAATTCCGGAAGTTCTCTAAAGAAATATAAATATAACTCTTAATTCTTTTTTATTATATATTTTTTAAAGAAGAAAATATAGAAAGTTAAATATAAATAATTATATATATTTAGTAATTTTAATTTATATATTAAATTACTAATATATTTAAGAATCCTAAATAGACCTATAAATTTTAGTTTAAGTTTTCCTATCTTAAGCTTAATATTTTTTATTAATAGTATTATCCAGATTTCTTTAGAATAGTATTTAGTTAACTAGTATTTATTATAATAGGTTTCCTAGTTATTTTATATATAATATTATAAATCCTTAAGCTTTTTCTATTTTATTTTAAGGGTTTCTAGTCTCTTATATATAGCTAATACCTTTCCTATAATTCTATTTTCAGGATTCTATAGAAGCTAAAAATAGTATTTATAATATATATAGAAAGATATATTCTATAAAACCTAATATTTTAAGTTATTATATATAAATTCTATAAAAAACAATTTCTTAAACTAGTTATTTTTTTGAATATTATAATAATATCTTAGATAGTATTCTAGAATCTAATTTTGTCTTTCTATTTAATTATCTATTTAAGAATAGTAAGTTATATTTAAATACTATTTATATATTAAATAGAAATAGAAAATAAACTAAAACTAGCTAATAAATACTATTTCTTAATTAGAAATAATTCTATTAGGGAAACTAAAGATTAAAAAAATATATTCCTATATAATCTTAGTAAATTCTAGAGAATTAATAGTCTTATAATATATAATATATCTTATTATTTTAGAATACCAGTTAATAATTATAAAAATTATATTAAAATCGGGACTTTCTATCGGGTTCTTATATAGTAATAGACCTATAATAAAATTTATAGAAATCTCACTTTAGGATCTCTTAAACTATAATAAACTATTAAATAAACTATATAGTAAATGCCTCTTTATCTTAATTCTTTAGTAAATATTATATTCTTAATAATAATTATAAATATTTCCTTCTATATTCTTCTAATATTAAGATTTTCTAAGAAGCTCGAGAGTTTTCTCTATTTTATAGTATTTAATTATTAAGTTATTATAATAAAGCTTTATAACTTCTTAATATAAAGCGGAATTATTAGGTATAATAATTCTAGAATAGTATCTAAATAAGCCCGAATTATTTTTCCAGATTTCTTTTCCTTTAGTATTTTTCTTACTAAACCTCTATTTTATAATATTCTAATATCGAGAATTATTTCTCTAAATTACCTAAATAATATCCAGAAGGGATTCAAATAAAGGAGCTAGTACTATAGCTCTTTTAGTAGCTATATATATCTATATATAGGGAATTAGATATTTATAACTATTTAATTCAAAAACTCGAGAAACTAAAAAGTCTTTAGTTCTATTAAGTAATATAATTATAAATACCCCTATTACTTTAGCTATAGTAATAGAGCTTTTAAAATATTTCCTTATATCTTATTTCTTAACTAATTCTATAATTAAAAGATCTATAAGATAATCTA